TAGTCTGTTAATAAAACTGAAACGTGTTTAAAGTTCTCATTTGTAATAGTAAACAACTAATAAACATATCTATCACGTGGCAAAAACTTGCAATGTACTGTAGTTAAGTAAATTAAATTGAAAATACATCAGAATAAACATAACGATAACGTTACACAAATTATGAAAAGTGTAACAAACACGAACTCACGTAAACAAGCTAATATTTATCATTAGACAAATATTTTCCACTGCAGAAAATGGCGTGCTCTACTTCTCTGCAGGCAATCACTCTACTTAATTAATAAAACTGGTACCTTAAATGCAGCAAAACGCACCTATTACTCGTTAATTCTCTCCATTCGGAACCATTTCCATATTACCGTCACTTAATGCACTTTTTGCCTGCTTCCAGTAGCGATCCATTTATCTTTGGACACATTTAGCTTTGTGCAGGACCGCCATGTACCTCAATGGACGCAAATGGCCGATGTTTTTCAATTAGTCGCTTCAATGTATCGGCTGTTGCCCCGACCTTAGAATGTTTAATTAAGCCCAACTGCTCACTGCCAGAATTCGTAAATAAACGTACGATTAATAGACCGAATCAGAATTCGACTTTTACCATTGGCCAAGGAACGGATGAAAAATACAACAATGAAATTTCGGTCTGAATAATTAATGGGGAGCACATGGCTTGATTAAAACACTAGTTTAATAACTGGACTCGTAGACCAGACTTTTGCATAATGTGGAATACGAATAGCATCCTGTTTGTACGTATAATTACTGTAACACTAACCTAATGTTTGCGATTCCGCTGGAAAAACTGGTCGGTTTGACGATAAACGAGCCAGATGACTAGCACAAAAGTTTCAATTAGAGTAATAAAGAAAAGTAAAAGGGTGTAGTGACCCGAGTTGTATCAAAATGTAAATCTTTTTGTTTTGGGTAGGAAAGGAAATTGTGCGTACCGTCACGGTTATTTGGGTTGTAGTCACTTATTGAAATATGAGAAAGTTGCATTATTTGCTTTTTCACATAAGAATAAAGCAATTAGGTACGCAGTGGAGAGTTTCCAAATGTAATAGATTTGTCACATTTAAGGTGACAATAACCATCATCATATTTCTAAAACGAGATTTTCTCTTATTAGAATTCAAATCGTTATCTTCAAAGTCGGCCGAAATCGTTTCTTCGAAAGAATTTTACTAATGCATGATTAAAACTTACACAAAAGTAGAATTGTTATTAATATTTTTCCTCAAAGTGTCTGTGAATTTTGCCTCAATTCTAATGACGCATTTATTCGTTGATCTATTTTCAATTTTAAGTGAAAATAGATTTAATTGCTACCCCACTCCTTACTTTTCCTTCAAATAAAATTGGGTTCTATTAAAACTGAAATCTGAAAAAACATTCTACCTTGAATTTAACCCATCCCCTGGAAGCACTGCACTGACCGTGATCTAATCTGGTGAATAATTTATTTAAAGCTGTGGAAACTTAACTGATTCTAGCTTTGACTTTATTCCTTGCCGAAAATAAATGAATCACAGTCATTCAGATCCTGGAAAAGAGGTTACAAATGCGATTTCTCTGATTTTGTCAAAGAAAATCGAGTGAAAATGCATGAAAATGTACTGACGAAATGACATTAACTACAGCACTGCTCTAGTAAATAAGCATTTTCATTGTCACTTTACTATTGAAAAATGTTTTTTTGGAATTTATTTTCACAAGTGATACTTATATTACAGGGTGCTTCTGGAAACGCACAAAATTAAGTCTTCCCGAAATATCAAGTTTTACAAAATAGTTCAAACAATCGTAGAACTTGCATATTTCAATCTGTCAACTATTAAACGCAACAGGAACAACTTTATTTCATTTTCTAACATAATTAACAGATCGTATTAAATTTAGTTTGACAGTTAAATTAAACTGCAGTACCAACTTTGGAACTTGCATTTAAAAAATCTATTTTAACTAAGTGCTGGTAAATAAGTAATAATAAAACTTATTGATTCCACGCATTAAGTAAATTTTAAATAAATCAATACCAAGTTGTTACTAATGTTAGTTTCTCTCAGAATTTCCTTTAAATATTTACAAAATTGCTTTCTGGAAACGAGAAAATTCAAGGAAAAAGCTGTGAATGAAGCACACTTTTTTTAAATGGAAATCAATACTGCAAGTTTAATAATTCAAAAATTTTGTCAAGAACTCTCTAACATTGCCTGTCCAGACTTTTAAAGTAAAGTAGCGTCAACGGTGAAATGTTGCGTGATTTAACAGACAAGTTCTTTTTTGGTCTATTTAAATAAAATATAAATATATTAAATACAGCTGTATATGTTATAAAAATAATAGCTAGTTTTATTCGCCCTAGAAGTTGTGCAAACATGTTTTGTCTCGATTTAGATGAGCCAATATTTAAATATTTAAAGAAAATATCGTCTCTGACTGAAATTTGAACCGGAGAGCAACGTCGTACTTACATTCTGTCTAAATAAGCTGGAAGCACAAAGCGACTGAGAGCTTTCAGTTGTAAAAGACATATTTTGGTCTTTATTTATGTCCAAGCTTTCCGAAGCTTTATATTAAATTTATAGCATGCCCAAGTTTGTGTCATATTTTTAACCGTTATTAATAGTTTTTTTTTGGTAAAAATATGAAAACCTTTTCAACACTTAATTAAATGTCCTAATGTTTGAATATTTAAACAAAACCCAGCTGTAGGTAACATGAGGAAAAAAATATAATAAAATAACAGGTATTATTAAAACAAAACAAAATACGTGAAATTCGTAAATTATATTGTAGTAAGATCTTACCAAACTTCTAACCCACAGTTCTTGATTCAGCGACCACGAAACATGAAGTAAGTTAAATTTCACAATAGGCAAATTTAGTTTAAAAACATATCCATTAGAGAGTAGTACGTGTAAGCATATAAAATTGTGCTTGAAAACATCTATAAAGGACTCTTTTTACGTATACAATTTTACGTTTACGTATTGTAATTCCCTGTAACATTTAGCCTTCCACTATACATATGCACCATAACCCCGTATTCTGACTAAATATATAGAGAAATTCACGACAGAGTTCATGTGCATGTTTTGTCCGAAGCACAAAATTAATGGATCGCACGGTATTTTTACTGCTGTCTGTGGCAAAATGTGACTAAATGGACTTTTAATGCATTCACCACTATTTTCTGCCACCCTAACAGGTTTCAGGCAAGCGGTGTTTTAGCGTTGGAAGAAAACCTGGTTACAGTTAATTTTCTCGTTTTTCAGTATTTTTTTTAAGAAAGTCGAAATGACGATTAAATAAGTTTCCAAGTTTATAATTAAGTAAAAATGACGTCAATCAACCTCAAGAGTTTTTACGTTCATTATAAATGATCTAATTTAACTTTAGAGACTGTGCTTTCTGCAAATATATTCCATCTAACCTGATAATAGTTTAAGTGCAAAGTATTCAAATGCAATTAAATTACAAATGAAACAGGAATTCTATTGCCTGCCTGAGCATAAATCTTAATAAAAAAGAAAAAAACCTACATTTCTGCATTAACGCGCAACCTGCACTGTACAATTATATCTAATCAAGTTTTGTTTTAATAAACACTAGAGTACAAAAAAATCTAAATAATTACAAACAACAAATAAAAGTATTATTATCTAATCTGATTAAAGATTTATTTATCTTCACAAAATTTACCAACACCAATTTTGGCGATAATTTAATTAAAAATAATTTGACAACAGCAGTGAAACAAAATTAAAATAACAATGTGGCAACTGAGAAAAAAACTGCAAAGTTGTTTACATATAACTTTCTTCTCCTTTGCAGTATCCGCGTATGCAGACTTCCTGTCGACCCTGATCTTCTCTTGCGTACTCCTTTAAACCTTTCTAATGTGATAAAGCAAACATTTTAACAGTACTTCCATCAATTTTTTGCATACATCCAACAATCATCAAAATAAAAAACTTATTGTCAAAATACTCAAATTTAAATTCACAAACATTTCTGCGCGTAATTACTTTCCCCTGGGTTCTTTATGATTTTGTAATGATCCAATAAATTTTAGTATCTTAATAAATTTCAAATGGACAGTTAATAATTTTAATTATGTACGAGTACCTATATAACAATTTAGAGTAGTTAATTCACGCACGTTAAATTAAAAAAATAATTCTTAAGGGAAGGATGAAGGATGAAGGATATCCTTAAAGTACCATCAAAATTTATAAGTAACTGACTCGTTAGTTGCGAAAATTATGTGCCTAATAAATCGTCAATTCGTATACAGACATACAAAGAAATAGTCAGACAGAATCGTGGAATTCATTCTTCGTTAAAATTACCGTTGTACATCAGCACGAGCTAAGGTGCAGAAAATGCAGAAGCAATAGATTTAACTGTTCGTCGTCGAGCACAAAACTGTAATTTTAAAATCGTCAATTTATGGTATAACTTAGCCAAGAATATTAAATATACGAACCATATTAGTCTGAAATCAATTCGCTTTTAACGTTTACTGCATCTTCTTTTTAGGAGTTTTTTTTTAGGAAAAGCTTTGCAATATTTCCTTTGGTTTACCGAAGCAAACATCTACAAATTTTTGGCGTCAAAAGGCATCACGTTCACTGTTATTCTCAATGCAGCTAAATACATTCTTAATAATGCTCCTTTAATTCCTTCAGGGTCCACCTTCCTCGTTTTCTGCTTATGAACATGTCGCATGTACAAGATAGTAAGTAGAGCGGCAGCTCTTCTTATGTCATGTCGCAACTAACGTAACACTTAACAGACACCATCAGCCTTGAAACGTATCAAAACTAGAACAATCGGGAACTATTGTAATTGGCACAATACGACCCTGTCCATTCCCAAGACATTCCTGCCCAATGCTCTCCACTTTCCATTTAGACTGTAATAATAAGTGAAGCCTTTTTAAATCGAAACAGCCCTTGTCCATTCTAATATCCGATCTCTTGTTCCAGGACGCCGAGACAATAGAGAGATTAAACGAATCCGGGGAGCTGAGGAGAATATTAAAACCTTTCAAGGTAAGTTCCTCCGGGCGATCTAATCGTTCGATTAAAGCTTAACCGTATCAAAACTTGTTGGGTAATCAAAGTCGCGCAATCGATTGGTCTGGACGACGTTTTATTTGTTTTTTCAGTGTGTGTCAACGCACCGGCAAATTACTTTCGCAAAGCGAATGGTTTGTACACCAGAGACCCGCTAATTATATCCTCGGCCACCAGTGGCGACTCGTGCGTTAACATTTTCGCACGATTAAAAAACCCTTTTCGAAATTAAGTTGAATTTGTGGCGTATTGGCCTTTGTTTGTGCCGTGCGGTATATAAAAAAAACTAGATTGTATAAAACTTGACAGTTGATTTACACCATATAGTAGCCTAAACACAACGGCTTTATTGCTAACGATATAACACAAATTATGTTGTTTCCATTGTTGAATTTATTTGGAAAATCACGCTGTTAATTAGTTTAGTGTTGCTTTCAAGAACCGTCAAAGGTAGAATTGGCACATAATCTCATTATTCCCATTATGGATATATTAGATTTGGTCTTGTTTTTGATGCGTTTACATTAATTAATAGCAATTAAACTGTCACTAAAACAAAGACGTTTATGTACTCATGATACACGATGCATTTTTTAACTATAACTTCTACACAGGTTTAGATTCCGGTGTCTAATAGGTATCATTTTTCTCCTTTTTAATTAAAAAAGGCAGTCTGATGTTTTCAGCAAATTCACATTTTTATATGTAAAAAATTGTCATCTTTAAAAATTCTCTTTTCTTTTTGAACTAAACTTATTGATTCAATTAAATATATTGAAAAAATATTATGCGGACCAACTATGAATTAAATGCTATTAAATTTTCAAATTGATTCAAAATCTTCTTAGATTTTCCAGCCGCACACAACTCGTAATTTATTTATTTCTGCAAAATTTGTGATTCAAACTCTGGCGCAGCTTTTGGAAAACTTTCGTCTTTTTAGTAACAGCCACTCGAATATTCGAAAGACAAATTTTGTCTGAAAAAATTAATCCACTTGTGTTATAATTGATGAAATAATTGGTGCCTGCCGCCTCTGACTAGGCGTCGGTGCTCAACTTTGTCTGAATGCGAATTTCTGTTCCAGAGTATGGACGCCTGCACGACCTGCAAAGTTTGCGGCGGATATCGACTATTGCCTTGCCAAGTTTGCAATGGCAGCAAGAAATCGGTACACCGGAACCATTTCACCACCGAATTCGTAGCTTTGAAATGTATGAACTGTGATGAAGTCGGCTTAGTAAGGTGCACTGCATGTTAATACGAATCTCAAAGCTTCGAATCTTCCATCAACCCATTGGTCGCCGGATCGATAATTCCGGGTTGCCGGAAGTCGCACCGTCCATTGCCATATCCGAGGTTCCATCCACTCATTGTACTATTTCTGTTTTTGTGGTGTCTATACGAGTGCAATCTTGTTAGTCTTAGAGTCTTAATACCAATACGACTTATTTTTAAGTAGTTTTTGTAACGAATTTTAACATAACTAGCCTAGATATTTGTATAAATTTTATTTTGTGTTGAAATAAAAAACGAATAAAAAGTTTGCTCGTTTGCTGGGAATGTAATTTAATGGTGACTAGAATTTCCTCGGGGCTGTAAATATTCATTGTGGAAAGTGGGAAAGAACCTACTGATTTTAACACATAAAGGACTTCCGTTTCAAGCAAAAGTTTGTTTGAACAAATTCAGAAACTGGTGTACAAAAGAAAACTTTGGAAAGTGTAGTTGAAACAAATTTTCGGAAATGATGCGTTAACAAGACACAATAAAATAACTGCGTATAAACTGTTAAAACAAAATTATAAGATTTCACTTTTTTATGTTTCAGTATTTCAGTTACGGACATAAACAAGGAAATATAATATGACCTTGACTTTTTAATAAAATACGTAAAACATGATCATTATAATAATATTAGACAGGAATATGAATGTCTTCATTTAGAAATTTACAGATTTACCGTTATTTTAACACTAAGAACATTTGCATTAATATAAAATTGCTTACAGTGTATACGACAAAAACTAACAATAGGCGCAGTAATTAGAGACTGGTGTTTTAATTTTTAACAAAAGAAGTCTTAAAAAAATCTGAAACTCTCTAAATAGACAGGAAAATATAATGAAAAGAAACCGTTCAAGTCAACTTATTTGTTAGTACGTCTATTACACCTAAAAAAAAGAAATGTCTTAATAATAATCCATAGGCAAAATTTTAGAGGCAATTATTATTCATCATTATTTGCATATTGCGAAGAACATTTTACTGGTGGATTTTCTTTTTTTTCCGCTGAATTTTATTATTTTATTGTAATGCAGGACATCATTGTAATTTTTTCCTGCTTTCATCAATTTCAGTTCGGCAAAATTTTTGGTGAAAGTAAGTGTTGCCAAATCCTTGAACAATGTATTTATTATTTGGTCACTACAACTTGGAATGCGTTCCTCCTTCCTCCCATTATAAATCTTGTATAGGTAACACAAATCTAGACAAAATGTAGACACACTTCTATTAAACCTTGTAATATTTCTTTTACTTTGAGTCATATTGCCATACACTCAGAACCACAGATGTTACATCTGATTTGAAGGCTAATTTAATAAAATTTTGAATTTAGATACTTAGTACAGTTCAAACAGGAAGTGTCGCATTCATTCTGAAGTTCGATTTGTAATAGACAGAACTAGTGCATTTTTGTATGGAAGTGATGCAAGTGACATTTAGAAATACCGACATCCAGATACAATCTTTCTAGGTTTGTCCCAGGATAGTGACGGCGTTATTTGTCAAACTGATTTCAAAACAGCAGTGACAGTTATTACTACTGATTAAATCGTGTTTGAATTTAATTAGTACCTAATTTATTGTTTCAGTTTATATATTATTTGACTTACTGAAGGAATTTTTTATTAGTTATCTGCTACCTAGAAATAGAATCAATCACACTGGCGTATCAATTATTGAATTTTTATTAGACAGTTAAATCATTTCACGTTAGAAGTACATTACGTTCATTATTAACTCCCACACTTTGGTAAGTAAATAAAAAGTAACAACCTACGCAGTTCCTGTAAAATGCGACCGTAGTATATGCCTACAGGCTTTCATTGAATTTAACCTTTAGAAAATAAACGTTATAATTTCCGAAAATAACGTTGCCCCAGAGTGTAAATATGTTGTTTCTCCTAGGCATAAAGCATAGTGAACCAGGCATGGTCCATTCAAATTTAAAGGGGGTGTAATCTTAACTTCACATTTTAAATTAATTTATTTTGTGCAGTAGAAATAAGAAAACAATGTAGTGTCAACGCATTATGTTTGAACGTGCACTTTACAATTTTAATTATGTATTTTTAATTGCAATTAAAAAAAGTTTCATTTGTGCGTTGTATTAATATTGATATTTCTCCGACTGAAAGGAATAATCTATGATCGTTTACGACTTATTACTTAAAATTCAAAAATATTAAAAATGACTGACTGTAATTACTAGTTTGAGTTATGTGTGTGGGCGACTCAATACGTGTTTGCTTTATATCCGCAACAATCAGAAATTTTCATCGTTAAATATGACGCTACTCGTCGGTCGTTTTACTGACCGGTAATAAAATCGGTAAAACATTACACAAACAAAAAAAAATTGTTACCAAAGCTAGTCAGTGCCGTGTTAAAATAATAAAGAAAAAGTATCTTGCTAAAAAAAAAGATGTTGCTGCAAAAATAGCACTTGTATTTATTACACAAAAAAAAAACTACTTGTAAAATAAATTTCATTGGTTTAGGGTAACAAATATCATCAGTATTCTCATCATACAGTCAACAAAGAATTTGAAGAAAAAGCTAGAAAAACAAATCGCCGAGTTCGTTAACACCAACGAAAGTATTATATTATCCCTGATAACTAATCTGCCTCCAGAAAATGACTTTTCAAGAGGTAGTGACGTACCTTTCATATTGATTCAAATGCGTAGTAGTACAATGATTCAATTTGTTTAGATCCTTTTCCCGGGAATAAATTAACGTTCAATATATCCGCAACAAACTATGAAACTTGGAAGTATTCCGGGATGAAAATAATATAGACATTTTTTTGTATCAGTGAATATTGTCTGCCGACTTCAGAACCCTCACTGTAGAATGTCAAAAATTTCTACATATTGGTTATTTTTTATAGACAAAACTCCATTCTTACCAGCGTGAATTTTTAACTACACAGAAGGAATTAACTACACCAAACTTGACGTCAGACAACACTGCGTTGAAATATCTTTCAAAGTTGCATTAATCCTACTAAATGAAGAAAACAGCATCTAACGCTCTCCCTTTGGCGATAAATCTCTAAATAATAAATAATTTAAACCCCTTAAAAAATCTTGAATTGGTTGTGATTCGTTGCCACGTTCGACGTGCAATTCCCACCAGCGCGCAACCAGCTAATTCCTACATCAACTATATCATAAGGTAACGATCTAAAAATGCCTAAAGTGATTATGCATATAAAGCATTATTAAGAAGCATCCCACTTAAATCCGCTTTCAAATAAAGAAAACCTCAATGAAATCGGTTCATACGTTTGGAAACTATACGGTACCACAGATAGACAAAAGTTTCAAGTTACATACACTTCTCTTCCTGCGTTGTTAATAAGTACAAAAAGAAATACATCTAATATAAATTAGTCTAGCCATGAATTTCGTAATTTACGTTCCTCAGTTGAAGCTATCCACATAATTTATAATTCGGAAAAGCAGTACCCATAATGCTGATAATGAACCGCACAAATCTCTATGGGAAAAATTGCCCAAAGGTTATTCCAACAGAACTTCCCTCGCTCCTAAAGTGCAGTGAACAAATCCTGCTTCTTCGAAAACTTATACAATCTGATTTTGGAAAATGTTATTCTTTTTTATGCTAAACCGAATAACTTAAAAAATAAATATTGCCAGTCACAGTGAAATAAAAAAAAAAATGCGGCACAAGATAATAATCAACGTTATTACTCGATGCGCTCCGCTTATTTTGATGTAAAAGTTCTTTATTCAATTTGGATTTTTTTAGTATAATTTGGAAGCCTAGAAGTCGACTTCCTTGGTTGCTTAAAGATTGGAAAGGTTATTTGCAATATTGGTGACAATCAAGACATTTATATTTGCCGCTCTATTCTACCTGTACCATTTGAAAAAGTAATTAAGAACCACTTAGTTAATTTCTTTGAACTAAATAAACTGTCTACACCAGAGCAATTTGGTTTCAAGAAAATTGTGCACGGCATTCCCAAATGTTTTCAAAAAAACTAAGTTATCTGCACTATTTTGTTAGATTTGAATACGAGATGCTAACTACTAACAAAATTAGAATATTACGGCGTAAGAGGTAATCTACATAATCTTAAGTAGTTCTTGAAAAAAAAACTATCAATGTCAATTCCCGTTAATGTTGGAGTTCCACAAGGTTCAATTTTGGGCCCCACTTTTTTTCGTATTCATTAATAATAATCTTCTAACGAATATTAACATTGGTAAAACAATTTTATTTGCAGATGACGCAACCATGGAGTGAGCCATTTTTGATTTAATTAATAAAATAAATTTCCTCATTCTTTAATTTTTTTAATCACCCGATATAAGTAATTCTAAAAACTATGAGTATTTATAAAATTAAATAAAATTTATTATTGTAAATTTTGGAGATGGCGTCGTCCCATTGGTGTTGGCCAAATTTTGGTTAGCGTTTTACCATCTACATGATATTCCTAACATACATATAAAATACAATCTGAACAGACGGTAGACAGACTGAACCAGGAGACCTAATTTTTCATACTCTATGGGTCATGAAATGTCGAGAAAACATAAAAGTAGCCCAGTCGTCCCCCGATAGACTCGATTACAATACTTTCTTTGCTTACACTCAGGAAGTAAAAATAAAATTCGCAAATTTAAATTTTATAATTTTTCGAATATTTTGTATTTTATAAACGTTTATTCCCACAACGCCGAAAACACAAAATATTTCACCAACCACGTTGGCATTATCTAGACAAAGCTGAACTCTGTATTGGTTCGACTATATTTCAAGGGCGAGAGAAGTTGTGTATAAGTAACCCTAGACCACATTTTTGTTCAACATTGAGTGATGTAACACACTTTACTTTGCTACAATATCCACATCACGTTTGTTTATTTGGATTAAATGTTTATATGTCTGAGGGCGGCGGCGACGGTCACTCCGCCGATAAGCAACTGATGTTACACGTTATTACACGGGGGAGACTTTTCTATGCATTTATTAATGAATCACACTTACTTTAGTTTTGTTTATTATATCCAGTGCATTGATTATATCGTACTAACAATAATGGAAAAATATGAATGCGTTGTAAGGCACATGGATAAACTACAGTGTAATAAATTATCTATTCTATTATTGTATTGTTACATTGTGGAAATAGGATGTGCTGTTCCTGATTTGAAAAAAAAAGTTGGAGACGCCAAGAATCGTACCCAGGCCCAGGTCCGGAAACTAGGTTTACATATAGCTGAGACATTTTC